GAAGTGTTTGAGTCATAGGATACCAAGGGTACAGGAATACATAGGGCGAAGCAGTTTCCAAACAGAATGCTTTAAATTTGGATGAGTTAATTTCATAACTACTTGATATTGTGGCCAGAATATTATGAAGCCTTTTCATAAGATCTACATCGATGTTCATTATACTAGCTGAGACATCGTATTGCTGAAAAAATTGCCTAGCTGTGTTGCCATCGTTCAATGTACCTGCCCCGCCTATTCTTGGTTGGTCTATGACAAGACTTGTCCTTGTTCGAAATTCAGCACAGACTTCAAGCTTTCTCAGTTTAACAATGTTTTTTTTGTCTTGATTTCTAGCTTGCCACTTTATAATCGGCATCTTATTAGAGATATGGAGCATACATTCTAAAAACTTTATCCAAGCATGCAAAGTTGAAACGCCATGTTTTATATTGCCTTCTAAAGTTTTTTTTTGAACAATTAAAGATAAATTGTTCATTTCGATTGGAGATGCACCACACACTGAACAGCATTGGTATGAGTTGGTTGCCGTGGAAATAATAGTTTAAATTTTTCCATCTATCATTGTTAAATTTACAATATGTTGTATTTTAACTTCTTTTGTTGTACCGTCCTCCAATAAAACAGGTACAACAGATAATGTTACTTCTTTAATAGAAGCCATAATTGACTCATATTCTGCAAGAATTTCTACATTTGATTCTTTTCTATGTTTAAATCTCAGAGGTCTGCAGTAATTAGTTGACGATGGTTTCGGATTTCTCCAAACAACCTGTTTTTTGTCATCTTTGAAACAATATAGTTCTAGAGGAAACAAGCAAGTTATGAAAAGTGATTCATCTGTATGAAGTTCACTAGAAACATCTGACAGTTGTTTATAAACAGGTTGTCCTGTTGCACCATCAAAACCAGCTTTGTATATTATAAATAGTTTAGTACAATCTTTAAGCACAGGTGAATTTAACACAACACCATAAGCTGAACATATTCTTGATGCAGTATGAAAAAGAAGAGCTTGTAATGAAACCTCTGCAGAGTAGTCACTGACATGAATGTTTTCAGGGAAACATTTATTTTTAGCCTCTTTTACAATATGATAGGATGGGTATAGAGAGCTGAATGGAAGAGCATTGTTTCTTAAATGCTGATAAGTTTCTTTGGATAAATTAGCATCTAAGACTAGCGCTAATGATTGTTCTGAAGTAAGTGATTCTGTCGATAATTCTTTGTTGTATATTTTTTAACCACTTTTGCTTCTATAAACCTTTTATCCCTTTTCAAACTTTTACTTGCTGCATATAAAAGTTCGTTTAAATTATATTTACTCAAAAGCTCTTTAATTATGCGATCTTTAGTTCTCAAAGACGCATCTTCAAACAAAATCGAAGGGCGTCCACCTTCAAGTATAATATTATTTTATCAGTTATTAAATCGTTGTTATAATAATACAAATAAATTATATACATTATAATAAATTTACACATAGTTAAAGTAAACATACCACAGGTTTTTGTTTCGATTTTTTTTTTTTTTAACAGTCAAATATAGTTTGGTTTAACCAAACTTTATATCTTTTTTCAAATACTTCATTTGTTCTATTCAATTTTTTCCACTTGTTTTTAGCTTGGTAAATAAATTACGAAATTATTGACAAGTTATCATTAGATTCTTCAAAATTGAATTGGGAAACAAAACTCAAAATCTTTGCATGTAAATCATCATTTTGTAGTAAATTATTTTCCATTATATAATCCATAAGACATCTTCTATCCATTTTTAAGAGATTTTCTGTTCAATAAAATACTTTAATTTGAAGGAAAGTAATTTAAAATGTTTTTAATAAAGTAATTTTTTTACGAGCAGTAACTATGAAACTCAGTTCCTTTCCTTTATTTCTCATTGGTTGTTATCGTGTTTTTTATCGATTACATAAAATTTTATTGTTTTCGGAAATTATAAAATAAATAATAAATATTATGTCCCAAACTTGTACTAGGTAGAAGTATATAATTCATATTTTATCACAGTCTCTGAGTTTTTAATACTTTAAAACGGTGGCATAAAAAATTAGGAATAATGGTTTCAATGCGATCTAAATGTTCATTGACAAATACGAGGAAGTTACTGGAAAGCAATTAAAAAATACAAAAATATTTAATTTTAAACTTATGTCTTTAATAAAAATTATTATAAAGTCAAACTGCAGTTTTTAAATTTTAAATCTTCATAAATTTTTTGTTATCGATCAAAAACAAGAAACGTGGACGTAGTTAATTGAATTTAAAAATGTATTCGTTTAGGCAGCTATAGGCAGCCAACTTTTATACCACAAAGTCATATTAATATTCAATTATATATCATTTTAAGCGGTTGATACAGGTTGATCCGATGGTTTTAAATGATATTTTTGAAAAAAAATAAAAACTTATAACTTAAAATTATTCAAGTTTGCATTGTTGAAAATATTTATACAAAATGAAAAAAATATTTTTTTTTTATGTGATTTAAATATTAACATAAAACTATATAAGTCATTTATAAGTTAAAAAATAAACTTAAACTTCTTTAAAACAAGAAATCAAAGTTTTCAAAAGATGTAAAAAAAATAAAATTTTTGCGCTTTTTTGTTGTTATGATAAAAAGTATTTAAGGAAATATTTGAACAACAAATATGGCGTTTTACTGAAAAATTATTTTTTAATAAAATATAATTTCTGGCTTATTAATATATTGAGCAAAATTTGCCTTTTTCAAAATTTCAAAATTTGAAAACTTTTTTGTATGGCTTTGCCGGCTTCTGACCCACTGTGCAATGGTTCAATTAAGCCTGTTGTGCGTAAAGTATACTCTTTCGCGACTAACAATTGTGTTAACACAGATGTTAGTCCAAAACCCAAAACTACTTATTGAAAACATGTTTTCAATAAGTAGTTTTGAATATATATATAAATATATATATATATATATATATATATATATATATATATATATATATATATATATATATATATATATATATATATATATATATATATATATATATATATATATATATATATATATATATATATATATATATATATATATATATATATATAAATATATATATAAACGCATATAAATATATAAACGCATTTAAAAATTATTTTAAATATTTGTAAATTTATGTATTTTGACTCTTAATATAGATTGTAAAGGGCTTCATGATAAGATCGTGTGATCTTCTGGAAGTCCTACCAGTAATATTCAATGTAAATTTACCTTGTACATATTATACTGGAAAAAAGTAAAATATGTATATATATATGTGTATATATGTATATATATATATATATATATATATATATATATATATATATATATATATATATATATATATATATATATATATATATATATATATATATATATATGTATATATATATATATATATACATATATATATATATATATATATATATATATATATATATATATATATATATATATATATATATATATATATATATATATATATATATATACATATATATATATATATATCTATAAAGAACGCGGAAGCTCGTAGAAGGCCGTACGGTCTTGTCGTCGAGTACCGCGGTAAAAAAACGTTGTTACATTTTTACAAGTTAAATATTTTACGTAGTAAATAAAAAAGTGTACAATAATAAAAGAATAGTAAGATTTAAATTAAAAAAACTACAAAAAATTAAAAAGTTCAAAAAAATCTTTTTTAAAGATAATTGGATATATAGTATAATGGCAATATAGGCTTGAAGATCGTAAATAATTGAGTTACAAATCATTTCAAGAAAAATCATCCATTAAAAATCATATAAACCGATATAAATAATAGATAAAAAGAATTTCAAAAGGTTTAGAAGTACATTTGTATATTGTCAATTTCAAAAACTACTTCTTTCATCTTTTTTTTTAAAGATATGTAATTCCATTCAAAAGAAAAATCAAAGTTATTTAAGAGAATTTTGTTCCAAAGATACGGTCCCGAAATGATACGCAAAATTTACAATGATTAGTTTTCAAAAATGGTTGCATCATAAAATCATCATTTCGTAGATTATATTTCTTTTTTTTGTTTTGTTATAAATAAACTATGAAAAAGAGACGGGGATAATTTCGTTTTACATTTGAACATAAAACAAAGATTATTGATTATATACGATAAGTTGATATATGTTTAAAACATTCATTTTTCTTAAGAAAGGCTTTGAATGAGTTTGTCTATCACAAAAATTAACTAAACGTGCTATATGTTTCTGATGACGATGAAGAGGCTCTAGTTTACTTTTATTAGTACTGCCCCATGCAATATTTGAATAGTTAACATGGCAGTGAATAAGTGAATAATATAGTTGCATTAAAGTGCGCATGTTTAAAAGCTTTTTGATTTGTATAATATTCCAATACTTTTTGAAAATTTGTTGCTTAAATTTTCGATGTGTTGTCTCCATGTAAGATTTTCATCAATATATGTTCCTAAAAACTGAGTCTTTTAACTTGAATATAATCAATGAATAGATGGCGTTTCGTATGGTATTAGTTTTATTTTGGAAAGTGGGTGAAATAGAGTCCAGTAAGTTTTAGGCACATTATGTTATTGATGCAAGAATTGAAAAATCTAGCAAAGTCCGGGAGGTGCCAGATGACACCTAATCAAATCACAGTATATATATACTATGTATAGCACTAGTAAGTTAATTATTTTATATTTAATGTTTTTTTTTTGTTTTTTTTTCAAATCGAAAAAAAAAAAAATTAATTTTTAATTAACAGATTTTTTTTTCGAAAATTTATTATACAAAAAGATTTATATAATAATTCAATTTAAAGTCAATTCTGATTGTTAATAACAAAATGTTTTTTTAATTGTGTGATTCAATTGGCATACCATATTTTAAAGTATAAAGTTAGGTAAATATGGTAGGATGAAGTAATGCAAAAAAAAAGTAATGCAAAAAAAAAAACTAAATAAAAAATACCTTGTAATGAGGCAATCCTTTTGAAGTATAGCCAGCAATAGAAAATTTATTGTAACCATAGACATGAAATATATAAACAGTTACTGTTGCAAATAAGCACACAATAGCCATGCGAGATGTATATAAGCCTAGAGTTACAGAAGTGCCTGTGCTCACATCTTTTGATGTTCCAAATAAGCAATAAATTAAACCAGGTGTTAGTGAGGCATACAGTCCATTTTGTGGAGGAAGTTTCGCAAGGTTAGCAAATGCTATGCCTTGTGGAATAACAACAACACCACATGTAAATCCAGCAATTAAATCGCTACGCAATTTTTGTAAATTATATTGTGGAAGCCAAACCAGTATTGGAAAAAATCTTTTCAACAAAGCAATAATGCCATCTTTGCTGATGTTTGAGAACAACTTTTTATAAAGCTAAAAACAAAATACAAGTTATATTTCTGTTTGTTATTAAATTTTCTAATATTCAAACTATACTTTTTAATCTCTTTTTCATAAAAAACAATTTAATCGCAGTGTGTCTTCGTACGTTTTTCACACGGAAATATAATATTATGCTAAAAATAAGGGAGGGATTGCTAGTACACAGTATACTAAAAATTTAGTATACAGTTTACCCTATATTCAGTAAAGCTTACTATACTGTAATTATAGGGGCTGTTTATTAATTACGTCAACAACTTTCAAGCATTTTTTACCTCCCCTCCCCTTGTCAACAAGTTGACAAAGGGGGGGGGGGGGGAGGTAAAAAATGCTTGAAAGAAAACCATTTCAAATTATAAATGCTTGCTCTGAAAAAAAAGTGAATAAAAGTGAAAGGTTTAAAAAAAATATGTTAAACTTTTAACTTAAAAAAACATTTTTTCAGTTTATAACTACAAAATAATATACAAAATAAAATTTTATACAAAATAAAAAATAAACTATGCTCAACAAATCTTATTTATGAAAGTCTATTCATTGAAATAATAAGTGACAAAAACAAAAAAACATTGTATTTGGGTGCGTATACCGACCGCCGAATGGTAAAATTAAATGTTTTGAAGAATTTATAAAAAATACAGACCTAAAAACAAATAAAGAAAAAAAAAGTTTGTATATTGCTGGTCACATAAATTTGAACGCTCGGACTTATAAAATATGATAAAGTTTTTTATATTTTCCTACAAGCATTTCTTGATATATATAACGAAACGTGCCCATATGAATAAAAAATAACTAAAATAAAAACAATACTAAATCCTTGGATGAATAAAACTCTAATAAAATGTTGAAAAACTTTACAATAAATTTTTGAAAAAAAGAAGTGAAGATAATGAAAAAATATACAAAAAATATAAACGGTTATACGAAAATCTTCTCATAAAAGCTGAAAAAAACTATTACAGTGAAGAACTTACAAAAAATAAATTCGATGTAAAAAAAACATGGGATGTAATTAATAATATAATGGGAAGAAACAAAATAACTACAACTTTACTGCCTCAAAGAATAAATATCAATAAAACTGATATTTATTGTCCTTTAAAAATCTCGAATGAGTTAAACAAATACTTTACAAACATTGGCCCGAACCTTTCTAAAAAAATTATAACCACACCCAACTCATTTCAATTATATCTTAAATCGTTAAATGACGTTATACTTCACGATAGCGACTTTTCTTTTAAAGAATATGAAACAGCCTTTTCTTTCCTAAAAAAAATAAATCACCTGGCTTTGATGACGTTTCTAGTAATATAGTTATTTTACAGGGTTTATGCGAAATATAAAACATTTTTTAAGAAAATATAAAACATTTTTTAAGAAAATATAAAACATTTTTTAAGAAAATATAAAACATTTTTTAAGAAAATATAAAACATTTTTTAAGAAAATATAAAACATTTTTTAAGAAAATATAAAACATTTTTTAAGGAAATATAAAACATTTTTAAAGAAAATATAAAACATTTTTTAAGAAAATATAAAACATTTTTTAAGAAAATATAAAACATTTTTTAAGAAAATATAAAACATTGTAGTTGAATCAATAGTGCAATTATGATACATAAAGTTATTCATAAATTTCTAAAGAATAAAGAGTATCTTTTATATAATTATAACTCATTATACTTAAAGATATAATATAAAAAGCAAAGTATCCACTTTAGTAAAATTCTTGTCTTGCTATGCCTTTCAAAACCCATCTTCTCATATTATAATACCAACCACAAAAATCAACGCCAATTGTCGGTATAAGCGAATTTAAAGTAGCCTTAACTTCATTGTTAGTTTTTGGAAACGGCCTTATAGAAGTATAATTAGCTTTAAGACAACTAAAGTATTCCTCAATCGGGTTCAATTGTGGTGAATAAGGTGGCAAAAAGTAAACTGAAACACTGGATTGGCTGAGCAAATTGATTACATCTCTTCTACGGTGAAATGCACAATTATCCAATACTAGTACAGAATGGGGATACGTTTGGAAATTCGGTCTTAAATTGTTGGTTATAAAATCGCAAAAAAAGATTGCCATTATAGGCACCATCCACTATCTTAAAGCTTAAAATACCATTAACTGTTATAGCAACCATGAGACTTACATTCTTTCCACGATTTGCTGGCACTGTAACAAAACATTTTGTATTCTTTATAGAACAACCATACTGTTTAGAAGTATGTAAATTAAAGCCTGTTTTATCTAGAAACACTAAGTTTTTGTCAGGAATCGAATTAATAGTCCTGCAAAAACTTTGTCTTAAATCAATGTTTTGCGGCGAGTTCCTTTCTTTTGGTACTAATGTAAGTCGTTTTCTAGTGAACTCCATCGACTTCAAATATTTAGATATTGTTGGTATAGATGCATTAATATTCCTTTCAACGAGAATGTTTCTCAATGATGCTAACGTATGAGATGGATCATGCTCAATTAACATTCGAATTTCAGATTTAAGTGTCTCGTCATAAGAGCTGCGCCTTCCTTTTTTTACTGATGCGATTTCATCATCACTAAGTCCTTTACAGATTTTATCAGAAATAAAACGTGTTGCAGAAACTGATATTTCAACTTCTTCCGCAATTTCTTTTAACTTCATTTCTTTAAGAATTGACTTTCTTATTGTTTTTACAATATCCTTTGTAATAAGTGTTCTTTTTTTTCTTTGTCTCTTGTTTTCCATTTATTGATTAAAATAACAAAATAAAGCTTGAATAATATATTTTTACAGATCTCTTTCTTTGTTGTGAATAAACCACATAAATTCCATAGTATAGAGTAATTACGTAATTGAATATTTTATGTTAAAATGTTAAACATTTAATTAACTAATTAAATGTTTTATATTAGCATAAACTTTGTTTTATATTTTCTTTAAAAATGTTTTATATTTTCTTAAAAAATGTTTTATATTTTTTTAAAAAATGTTTTATATTTTCTTAAAAAATGTTTTATATTTTCTTAAAAAATGTTTTATATTTTCTTAAAAAATGTTTTATATTTTCTTAAAAAATGTTTTATATTTTCTTAAAAAATGTTTTATATTTTCTTAAAAAATGTTTTATATTTTCTTAAAAAATGTTTTATATTTCGCATAAACCCTGTAAACAAAAATTACATTTCCAGACCTTTGATCTATATTATAAAACTTTCAATGAATGAAAGTATTTTCTCTGAAGCACTAAAGTTGGCAAAAGTATGCCCAATTTATAAAAACAAAGAACAATCAAAATTCTCTAATCATAGACCTCTATCAGTACTCTGTATTTTCCAAAATATTCGAACATATAATCTATAATAGAATTTATAACCATTTTAATGAAAATAGTTTAATAGTTTTGTTTTCAAAAAAATCATTCAAATAAACACGAAATAATTGAAATAGTAGACCAAGTTACTAAGGGATTTGAAAAAAATAACTTTACTCTAGGATTATTTATTGACCTATAAAAAGCATTTGATACGGTTGGTCACCTCGTTCTTTTAGAAAAAATTAAGCACTACGGAGTAATAAATAAAATCTATGATTGGTTAAAAAGCTACCTCACTAAAAGAAAACAATATAATATTATTAAGGAATCAGGTGAACTAAAAATTATGTGTGGAGTTCCACAAGGGTCAATTCTTGGTCCCTTGCTGTTCTTGATCTATGTAAATGATTTGCATAATGCTTAAGCAAAACTTAACGCGATAATGTTTGCTGACGATACAAATCTTTTCATATCAAACAGTGACATTAAGCAGCTTTACTCTGACATGGTTTAAGACTAATAAACTGTCACATAATGTAGATAAAACAAAGTATAATCGATTCCATAAAAAATCACAACAGGAAAACCTTCCCTTAAAATTACCAGATTTAATTTTAGATGATAAACTAATTGGAAAAAATAAGTCAATACAACTCTTAGGAATTCTTATTGATGAAACTTTATCATGGCTTCCTCACATAAATTATATCAAATCAAAAATTAGTAAAACAATTGGTTTGATGTACCGTATTTGCCCATACGTAACATCAGAAAGTCTGAAACTAGTATATTTTGGCCTAATACATTTACTATTCTAATATTACATGGGCTAGTACTCAACCAACAAAACTTAAAAAAATATTTTCTCTACAAAAACATGCATGCAGACTAATATATAAGAAAAAAAAATATGAACATGCAAAACCACTAATGAAAGACATGCAAATGATGAGTATATATGAAATTAATATTTACCAACACTTAATTTTTATGTATAAATATAATAACAGCCTGATTCCGAAAACCTTTCATAATAAATTTATGAAAAATGTTAACAATAATTACTCTCTTAGAATAAAACAATGGAATACTTATAAATTGCCTAAAATTAGGAGCAAGTATTCTGATTATGGAATAGCATACCGTAGACCGAAATTATTGAACACATATCAAAAAACCAAACATTTAAATACGGTAAAATCATTAAACTCCTTTAAGTTTATAATAAGAAATGAAATTTTTAAACCTTATGAATAATTTTTCAATTTTTCTAAATAAACATTGAATTCCATTATTCTTAGTTTGAAAAAAAAAATTGTGTCTTTTTTTTTATATATTTAAAACAATGTCAGTATTTTTTAAATGGCTATTGTTAAAATTATTACTATTTCCTTTCTTTCTTTAAATGTAAATATTTATGAATATGGTTTTATAAATCTTTTTTTTTTTGTATGTAAATGTGTCTTTGTAAATATATTTTCTTATTATATAAGCAGCAAATACATATAAACTAAAATAGCAAAGCAGCAAATACATATAAACCAGATTTACTACACCCCCTGCTTATCTGCATTCCATGTGGAAAGCAGATAAGCAGGGGGTGTAGTAAATCTGGTCAGCAGTCATTTTCTACAACTCCGCTGCATAATCATGCTAAAAAATTTCATTGCAAACTGTACGAAGAG